TCCAGGCCTAGATGGAATGCCACCACTGCCGGAAGTCTTCCTGGGTTCTCTCGGGCGGTTAGTCCTTCCTCTTGAGTCACTTCAGTCAAGCCTCCCAAAGAGCCCTCTGAGGATGCTCTTGCTGCTCCATGCGGAAGGGACCTTTCCATGGTGTCACATCCTCAGGGGAGATGACCATCTTTGTCCCTGGCCGGCAGCAGATACTCAATCCATGCTTGTTGAAGGACTGAAATTAAACTCCTAAGAGGTTTATATTGTTGATGGTTTAATTTTCTATGCTCCTGCCTGTTTGGGAAAGGATCTAAGATGGTGGTTCTCAGCCCCGGTGCACAGCAGGATCCCCTGGGGAGCTTTAAAATGCCTACTGGTCAGGTCACTCGTGAGACCAACTCAGGATTTGGGGGTGGACCCAGACATCAGCATGTCGCCCAGCTCCCAGGGGATGCTAATGTGCAGATGGGTAGAGGCTTCCCCACTGACAGGTGGACGCAGGGTCCTGGCTGGGGGCCTTTCCTCCCCACTGTGGGGGACGGGGGTGAGCCGCGTTAGAGTCCACGGTGCTGTGCACGGTAAGACATGGCTTTAGAGCCACTTTTAACTTAGGGAGGAGGAGGTGTCCTGGAGAGGGCGAGAAGCATGGGTGCCCCCCGGCAGAGGGGGGGCCACCAGACATTTGGGGCAAGGGCAGGGGCAGAGAGAGGGCTGGCCTGCAAGCGACAAGGGCTTCTCCTGGGTGGACACGGCAGATAGCAGGTGCTTGGCCAGCCGCCCTCCGGTGTGCAGGGGAAGCCGTGGGTGAGTGTCACAGCAGACCGTGTGGGGAAGGGCCCTGAGCCAGGGCAAGTCCGATCCTGGGAGGAGGCCCAGGCCTCTGCAGCAGTCGCTTCTGTCTTGCCTTTATCAGAACAGGAAACCCTGACACCAGGGGGTCTGGGCAGAGCCTGGCTCCCACACGGAAGCGGCCTGAGCCCCAGCTCCGCCTCCAGGAGCCCCCTTTTCTTCTCTGGACTTGTCCCCCATCTCTGAGTGGGGCAGACAGGACCGACTGCAGGGGTGCTGGGAGGAGGACGGCGAGGACCTGCTGCTAGGAGCCCAGACGCGCCGCTTCCCAGCACTGAGTCTAGAAGCCCCAGCAGCAGCACCAGACGTGGCTTCTCGAGGGACTCACAGAGCCCATGTTGTCACCTACCATTCGGAGCTGACCGTGGAAACTTCACGGGTTTGATGCACTACCACCTCTGAACCGCAGGTTTCCGTCCCGCCCAGTGGAACCGTAGAAACACTGAAGCACATTGCGCGCGCGCACGCAGGGGCACGCACGCACCACGCGCGCACGCACCTCGCAGGGGCACGCATGCACCACGCGCGCACGCACCACGCAGGGACACTCACGCGCGCACGCACCACGCGCGCACGCACCACGCAGGGGCACGCACGCACCACGCGCGCGCGCACGCATGCACGCTGTAGAGCAAGCAGCAGCAGGTGCCACCCACCTGTCCATCCGTGCGCTGAGCTGCTGTAGCTCGGTCCCAGGCCGGATACTGGCTTGGAGGGCTGGGGGTGCGGGGCCAGCTCAGACCAGCTCACGAGAGCCGGCTGTGCACATCTCTGCCAGCCCCGCGTCCCGGGACCTCACGTTGGGACATGTCCCAGGACCTTACAGTGTGAAATTGGCCATGGTGGGAGTATTTACACGGCGATAATCATCGGATGCTACAAATCAGGTCTTACTTCTGCCACCAAAAGCCGGCTGCTCAACGTTTTCCCAGCACCCTGCTACCTGGCTCCCCGCAGCGGGTGGCCTGGGGGGCGGCCTGAGAACAACCCTGACCTCGGTCTAAGGTGTGCTCCGAGGACCAGCAGCATCAGCACCACTTAGGACCTTGCTAGAAAGGCAGATCCTGCCCCTGCCTCACGGCAGGTGTCTGAGTCAGAATCTCTGGGGGCGGGGGGGGGGGGGGGGGGGGGCAGAGACCTGCCGTTTATCAGGCTCCCCGGGAAGGAAGGCTACGGTTGGAGGCGCGATGCTCTAAGCGCCAGAGAGGAGCAGAGGGGGCTTCGAGGGGAAATGGGACATCCAGTCCGAGTGTCATCGAACCAATGCAGGCAGGTGTCCTCCGACTTCCTCCCCTTCACAGGTCACAATAATAGCGAGAAAACTTAGGAGGAAAAGCACCACGTTGCCACCAGCCAGGCAACTATTCCCATCGGTCCGTGTCTCTTCCATAACTCGAGCACATTGGTATAGAAAGCAGTTGCTGGTGCCTTTCTTTTCTACACGGGCGAACAACGCGTTTGCATCCCGAATTTCTTCCAGAACAACACCGCCTTAGACGCTGACACGGTCGCCGAGACCTGCTGCCTTGTCCCAGAAGAGGTTTTGGGCAGGCTTTTCTTTTTCCTCTAGCGCCGGCGTGCTGTACAGACGTGGCTGGTACCCGAAACGTAATCTTCAGAATTAACATTCCTTGGGCTGGGCCTGGCCTGGACAGCAGGAAGGACACAGGCCTCCCCAGTCACAGGCCCAGCCCCGTGGAAAGGAGCACGGACCCCTAATCCGCTTTATTCTGGGAAGTATTTTGGCACAGCTTGGCTCGGTAGTTTATAAACAAGCTCTTTGTTGTCTGGAGGCGGTGGGTCACAGCGCTGTTTAGAAGGAGGTTGAACACTCCTCTGGAGCCTTTCTTTCATGATGTGGTTGGTTTACCCTTTAGCTTTAGGTAAAGAATAGGTCTGCAAACGGCCTGGGTTTCCGGCCACATAGACCACCCCTGGACAGGGAAAGGCTTGGGGAAAACCACCAGCATCCCTACCTCACGTACCCCGCGCTTTTCCCAACAGAGCCTGCTCAGCCATCCAACAAATATTCTTTGGTGCTTCTCTGGCTCCACCAGTGGGGCTGGGTGGGGGGGGGGGGGGGCAGAGAAAGGAGGGCTCCAGGCTATGGACAGCTTCCCAGGTAGAGGAAATAGCTCGTGCAAAGTGTGGAGGCAGACAGTAGGCATTCGCTGACAGGGAACTGTCCAGAACAGTCCAGAACATTTGGTGGGGCTGGAAGATGAGTGGCGGGAAATGGGGTGGAAAGAAGAGCAGGTGTCGGGCGATAAAGCCCTTACTGGGCCAGGATAAGCCAATGGATCTTTATTTTGTAGACACTTATGCTTAAGAGGGTGCCACCCGCCCCGCTTATATCTGCCCACCCCAGACCCAGCCAGCCACCAATCCAGCCTCTCCTCGGTGTCTGCCCACCCGTGAGCCATCATCCGTCTCTCTCCACCCAGCCAGCCAGCCAGCCAGCCCGAGTATACTCCGTACCGGACACAGGATTTCTTCTTGTCTTTTCTGGGTCCTGAAGGTCCTGCTGTTCCCCTAGCAACTCCTTACATATATTCTATTTCAGAACTACTCCAACTGACCCATGTCACCGGCAGTCTATTCAGGGGATCGTGTTTTGTTAGAAACAAGGAATTAACAGTCATGTGACAGCGAGGCTCACCTGGCCCGATAGCTGGAAAACACGCAGCCGGGACAAAGGTATTGTGGGTAGGGGTGCTGAGCACAGAATGACCTGGAAATCTCATCCTGACAAACAATTCTTTCAAAAGTCAGTTATGAAGCTGTTACAACACATGGCAACACATGCCCTTCCCATCATTATGCTGTATTAATGCCCTTCAAATAAAAGAAGGAATCAGAGAAATAACCTTTTGTCAAGTTGTGTTTTTTTTTGAGCGGGTGGGGGGAGGGGAAGGGGGAGCAGTACTTTAGGTCTTGGTCCTTAAATGGGTTAAATCTTAATACTTTGGTCTAACATCTTTTATTGTTCTTTATGGTGAAAAAACATTCCTGATTATAGAAGACATTCCCCCCCCCCACATGATCCAAGGCAAAGAAAAATCACCCTGAGATATAACTATTGTTAACATTTTGGTGTATTTTTTTCTCATTCTCTTTTCTTGGCATATTTTTAAACGTAACTGAGACCATCCCTTTTATACAGTTTTGAATCTAACTTCCTCTCCCTCCACTGAATACATGACAGGAGAAAACTCCTATGAAAGTTTCTGAAAACTCCATCTTAGCAGCTGCAAAGAGCCCCACTGCACGGATGTTCCATAACTTATTGACCCAACCCCGTTCGTTGAGGGCTCAGGAAGTTTCTAACGTTTTCCTCTTATTAAAAGATTGAGACCGTCCTTCCATCGCCACCCTCGGTCAGACCTCTGATAATTTCCTTTCAGTAGAATTCTAGAAATGCAACCAAGGAGGAAAACTCTGTTTCATGCTGAGACTTCAATCCCTCTTGCCACACCGCCTTCCAAAACGACAGGCTGGCCTGCACAGAGGCTCTCTCGCATGTCACGAAGGTGTCCCCAGCACCCGGCCACGTTAAGGGAATGCGATGGGCGTGGGTGGGTCTATCTAGTGAGTGTGCCCTGATGCTTTAGGGGAAACATTTGTAAAACCAAAACAAAAACCCCCCAAACAGGAATAGAATGATTTGCCTTTCCTGCTATCTGTGACTCCAAATCCAAACCAACGTTCTAATAAAACATGTAAAGAACTGGCTCAAGATCCTTTTAACCGGTTTCAAAACGAACTGCTGGGAATATGTTTCGGATTTGAAAACTGTAGCGGGAGTTTCTGTTGAACAAAACCATTTCCTGCTCACTTTTTACACGTAAATGTCAGCTTTACTCACTAGAAGTCAGACCCTTGCCCCAGGGGGAAGACGTCCAGAGCCTCCTTCGGCTCACAAGAGCAGGGGTGCGGAGGGGACTCAGCGGCCCCTAGGCTGGGGTGGGGTGGGGTGGGGGGGTGCAGAGGGCGCGGGGGTCGGGGGGCGGGTTTGGATAACAGCTCGGCAGCGGACCGGGAGGTGCTGGGTCCGAGACGGCGGGCTCTGCGCCCCCATGCCCCTCGCTCGCGGCGAGCCTCAGTTTGCCGGCCCGGAGTCGGGGCACCCGGGCAGGTGCCCCCGCGCGGACCGCACTCACCTCCGCCGTACATTTGGCACAGGTAGGGGAAGCGCCACACGTTGCCCAGGCCCACGGCGTACGAGATGCAGGCGAAGACGAACTGCAGCGGGTTGGCCCACAGCGGCCGCGCCTTCTCCATGGCCGCGAGCTGGGCGCCGGCTCCCCTCGGGCGCCGCGCGGGGCTGCTTCGGAGCGCGGCTGCCCGGCGCGTCCCTGCCCGCTCGGCCTGCGGGTGGCCTCGCGCCTCGGCCGCGCCTGCTCGCTCGCTTTTTAATTGCTAATCTCATTAACGCGCGCCCGCCGGAGGGGCGAGACTGGTAAATGGATGACGGCGAGCCCCACCCCGCCCGGCCGCCGCGGCCGGGGAGGCGCCCGGGACTGCGCCCGGGACTGCGCCCGGGACTGCGGGGCGGCGCCCGGGATTCTCCGGCGCCACGGCCGGGCCGGGGTGTTGCTGCGCGGCTCTTGGGAGCCGTCAGGTTCTCCCAGCCACCTAACCCTCGTTTCCTGGGTGCCTACTGGGTGCTGGGCTTCGTCGTGAGCCACACGCACACATCCCCGGCCCTTCCGGGAACTGACATTTCGGGAGGGAAATGCTTAAACTGGCCGGGATAAAAGGTCCCAGTTTCAACTACTGTTGACCTACAGAAGGGACAGTTTCATGTGGTTCGTTTTAGTCCATATAAAAGACTGAGACAGGAGGGAGGCAACTAAGGCAAAGCAAAGCGGTGAGCAGTATCGGGGCAGTAGGCTTGCGTGGTCCCGGAGGGCTTCCCGGAGGAGGAGACAGGACATTTGCCCAGAGACTGGAAGAAAGGAAGGGAAGGAGAGGGGGACTCTCCAGGGCCTCCACTCCTTTGCAGACAAATACTTCTGGGAGGAAGAGCAATGGGGGCAGCCAGGTTTCCCTCCATCTGCAGACAGGCCCTAATTGCCTACTGTGTGCAGGGCGGGGAGTCTGGCTCTGTAGTGCCGGGTGGGGGTCAGGAATCCCGTTTTGAACAAGCTCTGTGGGATACTCTACTGCTCAGGTGGGTCTAAGGGCTAGAGATTCTGATTCATTATACAGGAGTTAAGGCCTAAAAAAAGCCGTCTGGAAAGGTGGTTCCGCTCAAGGTGGTCGCTAGACCTGTCTAAGCCTGGTGCTTTGGAGAAGCGCCAAGGGCTGGCTTTGGATCTCAGCTCTGCCACTGAGCTGTGCGACCTTGGACGAGTCACTGAGCCTCTCTGAGCCTCTGTTGCCTAATCTGTAATGGAAACAAACATCGCCCCCTCCCAAGGGCTCATGTCAGAATTAACTGATAGCTTACTACCTGCCACATAGTACGTGCTTGACAAAGGGGCCACTGGTATGAGTCCCCAGAGGTCTGAATGAATGGAAAAGGTAGCACGCTAAATCAGTTAATAATGATGATATACTTTGAACGGTGCCTGGTACAGTGCCTGCTAAGAAAATGCTTGATACATAAATAAAATTAAAAAGAGATGAAAAGGTGGAGTTGCTAGTGGAAATCTTCCTTGAAGCCAAAATGAAATCAATCCCCGGAGTCCCTGCCTGGCCGGTGGCTCAGGAAGGGCAGTGTGATAAGGAAGGTGGAGGCTCTTCCTACGTGCGGCCTGTCCTTGAACTTTCCACCTCCAACAGCCAAAGCCGTAGAAGTCCACAACACAGCAAGGGAGACTATTTTTGCTTTTTTAAACTTTGGGATTCTAGTGAGTGTTTTTCCTACAACTTGCCTCCTCCCCAGAGGGACCCACCATCCTGGTGTCTATGGCTATAGGTTAGTTTCCGCTGCTTGGACCTCTGCACACATGAACTTGGGCAGTATGTGCGCTTTCATGCCCGGCTTCCTTGTGCGAGTCATTCTGCTCCAGTGCGCACCTCTCCGGGCTGTTCTTCCTCACTGCTGCATAGTACTCCACGCTGTGAACCGACTCCAGGCGATGCCCGAAGGACATGGTATTGTCTCCATGTTGGGGCTATTGTGAATAAGGCGGTGATGAACATTCTAGTGCCACTGAGGGACGAGTACGCTCATCGCTGGGAACTTCCGGGCTGGACGGTTAACTGGAGGTTCAGCACGAGCAGATATTGCCAAACTGTTGCCCAGAGAGGTAGTACCAGTTTGCACTCCCACGAGAGTTTCTGTTGTTCTATATCCTCAGCAACATCTGTCGTTCTGTTTTAAAAGTGCTCCCTGGTTTGGTGGGTGTGTCGCGATGGTTCTCTGTGACTTTTAATTTTAATTTCCCCTCATACGAATGAGGCTGCATACCTTCCCATAGGCTAACTGGGTCATCTGGATATCCTCTTTCATGACGTGCGTGTTCTTTTGCCAGCTTGTAATTGACTTGTCTTTTTCCTCCTGACCTAGATAGTTCCTTACTCCTTCTGAGTATGAGCCCCATGTCAGTTTTAGGTATTACGAATTCCTTCCCATGGCCTTCGGGTTGTCTTTTTATTCTATCAATGGTGTCTTCTGATGAACGGACGGTCTTGATTTTAACAAACTCTTAACAAACGACTCTCGTGAATGAGTTTTCCCTAGAGGGTGGCCGGCCACACGGTGGCATTCAGGAGCTGGCCACCCCGGACGGACGCCCAGTGCGGTTGCCTGCCGTCTGCTTGCAGGTGGTTGGTGTGACAAAGTCAAGGCCCCTCTTCCATTCCCCACCCCCAGGGGTCAGGCCAGAGGGTCCCAGCAGTCACACTGCCAGACGCCCCAGGAGCCTGATCAGGGCCAGGGGACCCCGGGTGGGGGCTGTGGGAAGCGCACAGAGACATCCCATAGTAGGACTAAGTAAATCCTCAGGGGCAGATGCTTAGGGTTCCTGGTAAGGTCCTCACACCTTCCTCATGCCCACTGACGACAGCTCTCTCTAAGCTGAGAAGACTGGTTGTGCTGCTGGAAGCGTGAAGAACAGGCCTGGGAGGGGTGGATGCGCTTCCACGGGAAACCAGCAAAGCAGGGGGTGGGGGTGAGTGGTGGCAAATGCTAAAGCCGCGGCTCTCTACAGAACTCTGGTTGGTTGTGCTCGCCAATTTCACCAGTGTAAATACTCCCCCTGTGGCCAAGTCCAAACTTCCAACACGGTGCCACTGAACATGGAGTTGGGCAGAGACGCGCAGGAACCCACCGTTGTCTGGATCTCCGTTACACACACGCAGTAGACACAGCCTCGAGAGCATGACGGAGGTGCAGTGGACAATTAGGAAGTGGTGGGGTTTGAGCGCATTTATCCTCTGGTTTACACCATTTACCTGTTAGTTTATATAACTGAAGTTCTAATATTGGCTGCCTTTAACAATCAGCTCACAGGATTCTGGAAGAGGTACCAGCTGGCAACTTCTGTGTGGCAGGGGCCCCGGGGAGCGAGTCCAGGTCTCAGAGGTCCGGTGCCCAAGGGCAGCCCCACCCTGAGTGCTCCCTGGGGGCTCCCACTGCCAGGATGGAAGAAATCCTCCCCTCCGACAGGCCTGTCCGATCTCATCGGGCCCCATGTCAATCAGGACAGAAGGCCAGTCTGCCCCAGTTATCTGACTTGGGGAAGAGGATGGTGGAGAAAGGAGGGGCGGCCCTGATTCAGTTGCACAGGTGTGGTCACGGCCCCGTGCCAGGGTTCCAGACTCTTCCCCACCAATTCCAGCCACCCAGCTTTTAATGATTAATGTACCCACCCTCGAGATGATGCTGTTAACTCCCCATCAATCCCTAGTTCCTCATGAGATAAAGTCCAAACTCCTGAGCCTGGTCTGTTCGGCCCTGAGGAATTTATTTTTTGATTGGGCCAGGAGGAATTTGACCCTTGCTCACTTAGGCTTTTCACCTTCCGGAAAATGCTGTGCATTTTTGTCCTCCTGGGCTGTTCCCTCAGCCAGGATCACCTTCTCCCTTCTTGACCTGGGAGAAGGCTCTCCATTCTTCTTGACCCAGATGAAATACTAGCCCCCACCCCCTTGTTTAAAGATTTTATTTATTTGACAGAGAGAGACAGCGAGAGAGGGAACACAAGCAGGGGGAGTGGGAGAGGGAGAAGCAGGCTTCCCGCCAAGCAGGGAGCCCGATGTGGGGTTCAATCCCAGGACCCTGGGATTATGACCTGAGCCCAAGGCAGACGCTTAACCAACTGAACCACCCACGCGCCCCCAAATACTACCCCTTTCTTGGAAGTCCAGCACCCCGCCCACCACTCGGGCCAGGCTACATTGCTCCCTCTCCCCCGCCCCCCAGCCTGGGGCTGCATATGTGGTTTCTAATGCTGTCCTGTCCTCTGTCCATGCAGCCTTGTCACGAAGAGTGCAAGATCTGTGTCCCCTCTGCTCCGTGGCTGGTGTCACGTCTTTTTTTAAGATTTTATTTATTTAACAGAGAGTGTGAGAGAGCACAAGCAGGGGGAGCGGCAGGCAGAGGGAGAGGGACAAACAGGCCCCCCGCTGAGCAGGGAGCCCAAAGGGGGCTTGATCCCAGGACCCTGAGATCATGACCTGAGCCGAAGGCAGACGCTTAACTGACTGGTGTCACGTCTTATTCATCTTTTTCTCCCTATTCCAGGTGCATCATTGAGTCTCAGTAAAGGCGAGCTGATAAATGAGCACTTTGGTGTCAATTCATCATTATTGCTCCATAGCATCGACAACTAAGGCGCCCACATTTCAGAAGTTTTCCTCAGACATTCGAGTTTTTGTTGCCCACCTCCCATGTGCCAGGAGCCTGCTAGGCTGGGGGACTGGAGGCACACCTCGGGGGCAGGACAGCGCCCCCTCCCTCCTGCCCAACGTACCTGCTTGCTCTCTCTGGGGGAGCGCAGATAGGAGTGCAGAAGCCAGGAGGAGCTGCTGGGGGTGGCGGTGGGGGGGTTGTCAAGGGGTGAGGAGGAGGGTTCTCCCGAGAGCCAGGCTGGGGGCCCCCGCATCAGGGCTGAGTGTGTGCATGCACATGTGTGTGCATATGTGTGTGGGTGTGTGTGTGTGTGTGGTGCTGAGGGGACAGGAGCTCCCAGGAGACCTGAGCCTCTCCTGGCTGCAAGTGGAGCTCCTGGACTCCACCCTGGGACTCTCGGCAGTAGCCAGCCCCACTGATGTGCCCACAGATGCCCTGGGGGCTCGTTAAAACGCAGGTCCTGGGGCGCCTGGTGGCTCAGTTGGTTAAGCAACTGCCTTCGGCTCAGGTCATGATCCTGGAGTCCCGGGATTGAGTCCCGCATCGGGCTCCCTGCTCGGCAGGGAGTCTGCTTCTCCCTCTGACCCTCCTCCCTCTCGTGCTCTCTGTCTCTCATTCTCTC